GGCTGTGGTGTCGGCCGCGGTGTCGGCTGCTGTGTCGGCTGCGGTGTCGGCTGCTGTGTCGGCTGCGGTGTCGGCTGCTGTGTCGGCTGTGGTGTCGGCCGCGGTGTCGGCTGCTGTGTCGGCTGCGGTGTCGGCTGCTGTGTCGGCTGCGGTGTCGGCTGCTGTGTCGGCTGCGGTGTCGGCTGCGGCGTCGGCGTCGGCTGCGGTGTCGGCTGCGGTGTCGGCTGCTGTGTCGGCTGCGGTGTCGGCTGCGGTGTCGGCTGCTGTGTCGGCTGCGGTGTCGGCTGCGGCGTCGGTGTCAGTTACTTTAAGATTCCTCCCTGTAGTGTCAAGCTGCCTTATGGAGGAACCGCAGGGATGACGTTAGGTGAGGTTAGAACTTAGAGCAGCGAGATGTATTGTTACATAATGACGTCGGACTAGTGATGGTGATGATGATGATGATGGTGATGGTGATAATGATGATGATGGTGGTGAAGCCTTCTTCCGTTTGTTCCTCTTCTTTTCTACTACTTCTTCTACTTCATCATCATTATCATCACCATCTTCATCACCATCACCATCACCATCACCGGTATCATCACAATCAACATCACCATCACCATCACCATTATCACCACCATCATCACCATTACCATCAGAAGAAGAAGATGATTACGATGATGACTATTACTACTACAACTGCTGCTGCTAATAATGATAATGATAATAATAATAATAATAATAATAATAATAATAATAATAATAATAATAATAATAATAATAAAAGGAAACATCCGTCCGAACAATTTTCGGGGGTAGGGCAAGAAATTACGTTTTTTAGCTAACCGGATATGAACGCGTCGCGGACGACCCCGACCCATCCCCGCGTGTTGCGAACGACCACATTTTTGAGCATCTATCGCGCGCAAATAATTCATGCCCGAAGGCCCTCTCTTGTCGCGCGAGATTCCGCGTGTTCGACGCTGCAGTTACGCGCCTGTGTTTTGCGTGTAATACCCGCTGATCAGCAGCGACAACATTACACATGCAGGCACGCATGCATCGTGGCCATGACCAACATTATCGCCGACAATATTGGTGACTCATGGTGGCGCGCGCGCTCCGTACGCAGACGAACGCGTGAATAGAGAAGAAAGCGCAAGCGTGACGCGACGGCGCGGGAACGAAAACAAATGTGTCGAATGCGCGTATATATAACACACGTTGATGAATTGTTCACAGCGCGTGGTGCGGCTGCGGTTTTTTTTTTATACGGAGACGTTGCGCATATAGGATATTATCGTGTGTCTACCAGCGCCTTCAGGCTGCTTGACACACATACACCCCCCCCCACACACACACACGCGCGCGCGTCTCCGGATAAGTCACACGTGTGTGTGTGTGTGTGTGTGTGTGTGTGTGTGTGTGTGTGTGTGTGTGTGCGTGCGTGCGAGCGTGCGTGCGTGCGTGTGTGTATAAGTGCGGGCGGTAGCATCTGTGCGTATATACACGTACGTATACACACACGAGTGCATAGAATATTGGGCTCGTTTGCATGTTAGTTAATATTGAAACGCCACAGTAGTCATGGAGTGTCATCGGTCTGACATACTGGTAATGGTTAGTAACTGTGTAACCCGTGTGAAAAATTGTTCGCATATAATCGCAGGTTATTCACAATTTAATCGACTCAAATAATAAAGTGGGCATAAGGGGGGATCCGGGTACACGGGATACCTCTATAAAGAATTCATCACAATTAATTACTCGTAAATGATACTGCAGATAATGATTTACCTTTCCGCTGTGCTGTGTTGGTTGGCTCAGCTATGTCGGGTGTGCAGGAGGTCGAGGCAGACGGGTGCTCTTTGGGGGCGCTGTTTGTGTAGCATCACTCTCTTGCAGGATGGTGGAGCAGTACAACATGAGGCTGGTGTGCAGGAAGACGTTCGCAGACTTCTTCAACGATCACCTACACTGTCCGGAGAGCCGCGGTATGCTGGCACGGATGCACACGCTAGAGGTATGAGACGGCGCGCAGCCAGGCGCAGTGCGTCGCGTGCTGATGGTCCGAAATTAATATGGCCAAATTCGAGTAGCTGCGTCGACAAATGTTCAGCAAATAAATACACGAGCCAGTAGCACACCGTGACATTAGCATCACAGTCAGGGGAACTATTATCATATTGACGATATGATTGTGAGGTTGTGAATTGATGGAAACAGCATAACAGGGCGCGTTTGTCTCTATTGTATGTTATAAGAGTTCAGAATACTATTGCGGGTATGTGCTATAATGGTATATATTAAAATAGCAATTTGGGATCTTGGTGCTATAGCATTTACTCTGTTAAATTATGAATTGCTGGTAAAAAGGCCTAATTAAGGCTGTAATAAATGTCTAATTTGTTAACCTTTTTAACACCATTCAATGTAGCCAAGCTGTTAACTTGTTGAAATTTTATTTGTGTGCGTGTGTGTCGTAGGCTGGTGCGCGTATGTGTGCGTGTGTGTGTGTGTGCGTGTGTGCGTGCGTGCGTGCTTGCGTGCGTGCGTGCATACATGCGTGCAGCAGGCTTACTAAGGCAAGGCAGGCAATAATTAAGCAACCTCTTCACGTGAGAGATCATGTAGTGCCGCTTGTAATTATAGTTACGCGTTACTGGGAAACACAGGTAATTTATTACTTTTTTATTTGTCTTTATATCTGTGCAAGTGCTATTTTTCTCACATATGGTATGTGACTAACCCACTTTTATCTCACTCGCTTTCACTGTTTATAACAGAAGTGTATAACCTATATTATACCTTGGAGGAGCCGACTCAGTAATAAGCTGATACATTCTTAATTATAAATCACCGAAGCTTTTTATGTACGTATACGTGAATGTTCTAGAAATATCTGCCGGGGCAAAGTTTATTCCGTTACGTGTGAGCTTACACAGCTGCCACACTGCCACACTGCCACACTGTTTGCTAATGGAGTTGCATGTCCAACAAGATTGACTGTTAATACAATTATAATTTTTAAAAGAAATATTTGTACAAGTCCAATACCAGAACTTGGATGTATACGTTTCAGAAAAGTAATCACAATATCCTAAGAGACATTAGGCAGATCTTTAACATTTCTATCGAAGAATGAAATATAGTTGTGCTGGAACACGACCGCAGTAGCTGCTATACTGGATCTAATTCCTTCGATTTCTAGTAGGCGGCAGAAGCTCATAGTCAGTTTCGTTGCATTATGTCGTGTAGAGCTGCATTCCTGCGTGTTTCGTCTTTGATCAGGGATCGACATAGGTCATTAAGCATCTTCTCCCTTTGATCTGGATACTTCTTGTCAGCATCGCAGAAGAATTCCACTGGAAATGAACATATTTTACAGAAAAGTTGAAAATTTAAAACAAAAATTATATACCTTTATTTCAATATTAATATATTTTGAATAAGAGCTAATCAAGAGTGAATAATAATAGATCTATTATTATACACTCTTGATCTAATAATACCGGCAATATCCGCTCTTCATTTTAAGGAACGTTTTTCTAATATTTTAGCTCTGCATGTCGATAGCATTTCAGCTTTAAAGTATGTAGTATTGGTGCTCCCTGGGTTGGTATATTTCATCTAGCTAATAATGACAAGATATAAGTAGCTTTCACTTGATCCTCTCCGATGGGTTTTCCACCTCTCTACTGTTCAGTATTGAGGCACGGCAGAAACTAGTTCCTCGTGCGTAACCAGCACAGAAGCGGCAGGAGTTTAAACAACATACCCGTCTTGCGGATAGCGTCATCTAGCGGTGTCGGCTTCCAGTCGAGCAATGTTTTTGCCTTGTCCGTGCTTATGGGACCGCGAGTGACGGACGGGAGTTCGAACGAGTCCGGTCCGCCGACGACGCCCGATAGGTCGATGGCGTCGGCCGGGGCAACGATCTTGTAGGCAACGTCTGCTTTGCTGACGCGCAAGTGCTTCTGCATGCATTGGAAGTAGTCGAGAAGGGTGGTTGTCTCACTGAAGGCGACGTTGATGGCCTCGTTGTAAACCTGTAGAAGTAGGTGGGCACTGTATAGCAACACACCCGTAATGCTAGAAGGAAAGTGTAAGTGGAAATTTCAGCCTGCATACGCATCTCATATCATCTTAAGGGCCGGACACACTAGGCGATTTTATGTGTGCGTGCGTGCGAGCGTGTGTGCGTGCGTGTGTGTATAAGTGCGGGCGGTAGCATCTGTGCGTATATACAACGTACGTATACACACACGAGTCATAGAATATTGGGCTCGTTTGGCATGTTAGTTAATATTGAAAGCGCCACAGTAGTCATGGAGTGTCATCGGTCTGACATACTGGTAATGTTAGTAACTGTGTAACCGTGGTGAAAATTGTTACGCATATAATCGCAGTTACGCTTGACACCAGGAAGAATCGATGCTGGCTTCTTCTCGCTTTACACCAGGAAGAATCTGTGCTGGCTTCTCTCTCATGACGCCGCGCAAGACTCAATGCGATTGTCGACGTGGTTGCGCGGCGCAGAGCTTTAGCCGTATTGATTGTGTGCGCAGCTTGTCCAAGGAAAACAGTGGCTGTCTTGTGTGATGTAGTTCTATAAAGCTATTTGCCCTTTGCACACGAACCTGTTGTGCATCGAACAAAAAGAGGAGTGTTTTCAGAGTGCGAGAAGGGAGGTGACAGGTTGAAGCGGTGAGAGAGACAGTGCGGGGGTAGAAAGGTGGGAGGATAGCTGAAGAGAGAGAGAGAGCGAGAGAGAGAGCGAGAGAGGTGGTAAAGAGGAAGAGGGAAGGGAGGAAGTTAGGTGAGAAATAAACAGACAGGGTAGGAAAGATAGGGAGTGGGAAGAAGGAAGTGAGATATATAAAGGAGAGAGACAGGGAAGAAAAGAGAACGTAAACGAGAGAGCCTTTGGAAAGAGCAATAGAGGGGTGCAGCGAGAGAGGAGAGGGAGACGGAGAATGAGAGACGCGGGGGGGGGGGCAGAGAAAGGAGAGAGAAAAAAAGAGAGAGATAGCGCGCGAGAGGCAAGAACGAAAAGTGTGAGGGGGTGGCCATTCATTGCATCAAGAGCCCATTAACCCCTTAATTAATGGGTTAATGGGCTCTTGATTGCATCCTGTCAAATTTTACCACGAACCTTAAACCTTATATATAGTGGCTTCTAGTCCCCTTCGGGCCTAATTACTCGCTATTCCACATCTTCCACCCACCGGTGTAAACTGTTGAGTGATATTTTATCGCTGACAAGAATACCTTGTTTGTTCTGCGATCAGCTGTGTCACTTTGCTGTAAAGGCGAGGCGGGTGCCGATGTTTGTTCTCCGAGCACGTTGGCGGACTATACTCTAGTTTCTTAGCTTCTTTTTCTACGCGAGTGAACCTATTATACACAGTCACACCTATATACCTGTGTGTGTGTGTGTGTGTGTGTGTGTGTGTGTGTGTGTGTGTCCAGCACCAGCTGCCTGTATCACTCCTAGCTTGAGCCTTGGCTTGAGCGAGCCTCAGCTGCTCCGAGAATTTTCAGAACACTCCTGTATTTGATAGTCTACAAGAATCTCCAGGGGCACGTTGTTGGACTTCTTCTCTCTGTGCTGCGTTTATATATTTTCTCTGCGCAATTTGGTGTTCGAATTATTATATAATTGCCAATGAAAGTACAAGTTGAAATTATATAGGGTACAGCTAGTGACCCTATCGGTGCCTATTACCCCGATAGCACTGTAATACTACTGTAGTGTTTTATTTAAAACCTGAATCTTGAATCTGATTAAAGCTGCTATTGCCAGATGTGGTTGGCACAAATTACCATCCCGGATCCGTCTCTGAAGTAGATGTATGTATAGCTGCCCCAGGTTATAATTAACCTTTAGGACCCCGTACATAGATCATCGTCGATACCATAACCATAATCCTGGTACTAACCCCTACCTAATCTCGTAACTCCATAATTACGGAGTGCTCGCACACTCTCTATGTGCGCGTACATACACGCGCGCTTACACACAGGCGTTCAACGCCCTTGCACGCGCACACACGCACGCACGCACGCTCGCACACGCGCACACACGCACGCGCTCGCACATTCACGCACGCACACACACGCACACACACACACACACACACACACACACACAC